ACTGCTCGGTCCCTCCGACTGCCTAGCCCCGAGACTACCGCGGGGCCCACCCCACGTCGTCACTCCGCCCGTCCTTGGGCTCGTCGAGCCTGTTCAGCGCCGCGGACTCTCGCACATAGCTCGCGCAGCATTGCAGCCGAGATCAAAGAGAGGGAGAGGAGAGGGTTGCGCAAATTTATAGCGCGGGAGGCGGCGGGTTAACGACGCGAGGTGCGGGCAGTGCGGGGTGCAGAGGAGCAGGACAGGAGAGAGAGGTGGGGAGCTAGAGGGTTCGACTCGCGAGATTGCATGGCTACGTGATTGGGGTGTTCGTTCAAGTGGTGTGCGGTTTCCCGCTTTCCACATTGATCCGAGCATCCCAACTACGCAGCCAATCACTTCGCGGAGGAAGACAGGGTAAGGATCAAGCTGGGCGTAGGGGAAGACGAAGAGTCCTGCATGGGGAAAATGCGCGCAGCAAGAAGGGAAGATGGCGCGAGGATGCGAAGCAAGAAACGGGGATGGGAGACGTGCGAAGAAATTGGAGCTTGGGCGCGGGCGCAAAAACTCAAAAAGTCCCAACCGCACCCGTTTCTTGATTTTCATACCGCGGCCGCTATTCGCCCGCGGGGGTTATTAACCAAACAAAATGAAAAAGGCCGTTTCAAAAAGAAAACAAAAGCAAAAAGAAAGAAAAGCCCCTTTTCATCTACGTCCGTACTTCGGGGCTTCCGTGGGGTTTTCCCTCAAGGATACGGCAAGCCGCGCGGTACGGATCTGAGCTTATCACAAGTACCGGTTGCTTGGGGAGGCCGAGCGGCCTGGAAGTGACCGCCCAGGAGGCAAGTAGACAGCTATATCAAGAGGCCGGACGGAGAACCCAGTCTCATTCTTCAGTGTGCAAGTTTGGAGACACGCTGCTGGAGCGCTGGCTGGGGTAGCGCTGGGTACTACAGCGCTGCTGGGAGGAAGAAGCCGGGAGCTTCCACTTTGGCTATGGTGGAGCTCTACCGGTAGGAGGAGGAGGGAAAAGGGATCCAGGAGGAGAGTGGCAAGGTACTTACTGGCTATGGTAGACACCATCTTCATCTCTTTGCTAGGCGCTGCATCAGGAAGGCCCCAGTGGGGGTAGTGCCGCATCAAGGAAGCTCGGGACAGAGTCAGGCATGGTGGCTGAGTGGGCATCGGCATAAGCTGCTTCGTGATGACCTTGAAGTGGGGCAGCGGCATAGCTGCTTTGGGTTGTCTTTTGGACAGGAGGCTGAAGCCTCAATAGTCCACCATAGCCTCGGCCTGTGTGTCAGAGGAAGAGGAAGGGTGGCCATGGCTATGGTGAACCTCATGTTGTGCCTGCAGTAGAAGTGGGATTCGGACATTGATTCTGGTTCAGTCATTCAACATTATTATTGTTATTTCTTGTTTGAATAAGAGGGGAGGAGATAAGGAGGAAGAGATTGGTTGGYGAAGAAGAAGAGSCTTGACATTGGTCTATGCTGGAGTACATCATCTTCTTYTTTCTCACTTCTTCTTCTTCTTCTTTCCCTCTCCTTCCTCTCAAGTTCATTCATTTCTTTTTGCAATTGGATGACATTGTACTTTCAGATTAATGTATATTTCGAACTTGGCCAGGATCGTAACACCACAAAAAAACTCAAAAATTCTCTAATACTGTCTTCTTCCCTGCCGAGCTCTCCCAGGCCTCATGCCCCCACTGCTAGGTTACAGGGCAACACGACTCACCCCAGCTTCGRCCAGCGTCRTCCCGACAGCAACCCTTAGTTTTCCCTTGGAATGCCCAGCCCAAAGCATCCCCAGATCTCTCTACCAGGCCACATGCTCCTGCTATTAACAGGTTACAAGGCAATCCCCCAGCACCGGCCAGCGTCGTTCTGGCATTGAAAAACCAACAGATCCATGAGTGAACAGCATCAAGGAAGCCTAGACTGCTTTGCAAGGAGTACCCAGAGTCCTAAAGAATTCTCAAGACTACCAAAAGTATGAAGAACCTTCTTCGAAAATAGCRAAGAGATTAGGGYCAGATTAAGAATTTAAAGTGACTACARCAAAAATTCAGAAATCGACTCAGAGAAACCCCCATCAAACCTCTTCTCCTCTCCCCGGCAAGACTAACTACAGCAGAGCCACCATCTCTGCTGCTGCTGTACCATACTCCCCTCCTACCAKCTAGCCCCCTCACTAGTAGGATGCGTGATATCCCACCATTTCCTTCTCCCACCCACCTTATTCTCTTTTTTAAGGTACATAAGAACACTTCACAGAAAAAAAGAGCATGAGAATAGGCCGCAGGGGTCTGCAGAAGCTTCAAAAAACATTAAAATCCCTCACRAACCCTTCCGAAGTCCTCCAAAACTGTCTTACTCCCTGCCGAGCTCTTCCAGGCCTCACGCCCCCACATCCAGCTGGGTTACAGGGCAACACGACTCACCCCTGGTTCAGAATGGGAAGGAAATTTGCTCCCTTTCCCATTCAAAGCACCATCATGATGTCGGCCCACAACCTTTACTGTGACTTGTGTTGCCCTGTGTTGACGCTTAGCTTCATCATGAAGTGCTTCTATACGTTTTGTTTTTCTCTAAGGGCGCATAGGGTCGGATGGCCAATCTTATCCAGAGACAATCTAGTATCTACTGATTGTGAGCAAGTGGTAAGCTGGAACAAATCAAACATGTGAAGACGCGCATGTGTAGCTGCTGTGTTTTCCTCTTGAGAATGATGTTTTTCATCATTATGAATTTATGAAAGAGGTTGGTTTGTTGCTTCTAAACCCCTATTGTGATTAAATTTTGTGTTTTGTGTTCTGGTGGCTTAACTTACGAGTTGAATTATATAAGAAATGTACTAAACCAAATGAAGAAATTTGCAGATTTTCAGCCTATCTTGCAGATATGGCCTATTAAGCCGCCAGTACCTAGCCCATACATCGGCCGCGGGCGTGAAATTGTCCAGTGCGCCAGAAAATTTTCAACCGACATGGATGTATCTACCCTGTGCGGCAGGACTGAATTTCCGTTTTAACCGCGGCAATATCTTTTTTTAAGGGGGGGAAAGGTACTGGTGGTTCACTCTCTTCGCCAAAGCTTTTGGATTTCTTTTGTTTTCCCTTTTTATCATGTTTCTGTCTAGGCTACCAGAGTGGCCCAGGTCCACTTGCGCATCCGGGCCAAAAAGGAAGGAGAAATATATATATATATTCTGTTTGTGACGATATTGACGATATATATATATATATATATATTAATTTCAATTTTTATTTCAAATTTCGTAAAGAATTTCGATGTGAC